TCCTCCATTGAACCTCTTAATGGGATGAACTATTCCTCATGGATTGAGCAAATCAAAATAGCACTTGGAGTGATGGAACTAGACTTTGCATTAAGAGTTGATCGCCCTCCTCCCTTAACCGATAAATTTACGGTTGAGGAAAAACGTGTTAACGATCAGTGGGAACGATCAAACCGCATGTCTCTAATGATCATCAAGAACTCCATTTCCTTGGCCATTYGTGGAGCAATCCTTGATCCTGAAACGGCAAAAGGATATCTTAACTCGGTTGAGGAGCAATTCAAAGGCACCTCTAAAGCCCATGCTAGTACACTTATCCTTAAAATGCTCACAACTAAATACGATGGAGTTAGTGGCGTACGTGAACACATATTGATAATGAATGACATGGCCAACAAACTTAAAAGTATGGACATGGAAATATCTGAAGGCTTCTTAGTTCACTTCATTATGACTTCCCTTCCGGCTCAATTCGGGCCTTTTAAAATTAACTATAATACTCAAAAGGAAAAATGGAAGATGAGTGAACTAATAGCCATGTGTGTTCAAGAAGAGGAACGTCTAAAAATAGAAAAACCTGACGTTGCTCATCTTACCACCACTACTCCCAATAAGAGGAAGTTCAATGATGGCGCAAAGTTTTCACTCAAGGGGAATAAATCAAATACTGGTCCGAACAAGTCTCAGAAAACTGGTCCTAGTACAAGTGGAACTAAGAGAGAGGCCAAGTGTAGATTCTGCAAGAAACTTGGTCATACTCAGCACGACTGCCCAAAATTTAAGGAGTGGTTGRCAAAGAAAGGTACACCTACTTATTACATGATTTGTGAATCTTTTTCAATTAGTGTGCCTTCTAATACTTGGTGGCTAGACACGGGATCAATGATTCACGTCACTAATTCATTACAGGGATTCCATACAAGGAAAATACTGGAAAACAACCAACGGACCGTTAAAGTTGGGGACGGGAATGTAAAGAAGGTTGAAGCTATTGGTAGTATGGTGTTGTTATTACATGGAGGACATGAAATGGTTCTTCAAAACACTTTGTATGTACCTACTATAACTCGCAACTTAATATCTGTATCTAAACTTAAATATGAAGGATATAGCTTTTACTTTAATGATGATGACGATGATGTTATTATACATCGTCATAAATTGGTTGTTGGTTTTGGTAGATTGGAGGGTGACCTCTATAAACTAAACCTTGATAATAAATTTTCGGAATCGTTATTACCTATGAATATGAATATTTGTGAATGTAGTGATAAAAATAAGAGAAAGAGAGATAATGAAATATCATCCCGATTATGGCATAAACGTTTAGGTCATATATCTAAAGAGAGGATGACACGTCTTGTTAAAGATGGAATTATTGAAAATCTTGATTTCTCATATTTTGATCCATGTGTAAATTGCATAAATGGTAAAATGACTAATAAGAACAAGAAAGGTGCAAACCGTAGTTCAAGCTTGCTTGAAATAATTCATACGGACATTTGTGGTCCTTTCCCTTCTGGTTTAGGAGGATACAAATATTTCATTACCTTTATTGATGATTATTCACGATATACCTACTTGTACTTAATTAACGAGAAATCCGACTCACTGGAGATGTTTAAAACCTTTAAGGCTGAGGTTGAAAATCAACTTAGTTGTAAAATTAAAATAGTGAGGTCGGATCGGGGTGGAGAATATTATGGCCGACACACGGATGTTGGTCAATGCCCTGGACCATTTGCTGAGTTTTGTAAATCTCATGGAATAGTCAATCAATTTACTATGCCAGGAACACCTCAACAAAATGGAGTTGCGGAAAGACGCAATCGCACCCTTATGGATATGGTGCATAGTATGATTGCAAATTCAAGTCTTCCACAATTCCTATGGACTGAGGCGTTAAAAGCAGCCGTACACATCTTAAACCGTGTTCCCTCAAAATCCGTCCCTAAAACACCTTATGAATTATGGACGGGTAGAAAACCCAAGCTAAACTATTTAAAGGTTTGGGGTTGTCCGGCTGAAGCTAAGGTCTATAACCCACAAATTAAGAAATTAAACTCAAAGACAATATCTTGTTATTTTGTGGGTTATCCCGAGAGGTCTAAAGGTTACCGGTTTTATGCCCCTTCACATACCACTAGAATAGTGGAAACCTGATGCGCCGAGTTTCTAGAAAACGGCGATAATAGTGGGAGCGATGGTTCAAAGATTCTTGAACTTAATGAGAAAACGACACCTAATCAAACACCAAATATTTTAGTGCCGATACTAGTATCTAATCAAGAGTCGACACGAACATCAACTCCCCAAAATGAGGATGTTGTTGTTCCAATGGTAAATGAACCATTCCATCATGAAATTTCACATAATGCCGAGGCCGTTGAAGAAGCTCAACAACCATTGAGAAGGTCATAAAGAGAAAGACGGCCCATAAATTACGATGACTTCATCACCTATTTAAATGAGGTCGACTATGATTTAGGTCAAA